TTGTCGGCACTATCCAGAATTTCGCACTGTATGTATATCCTCGGCTGTGACCTGATCAAAGCTGGTGAACGTCGGCGTCATCGTGCCATCGAGATTAATGTAGGCACCCCTCATCCTGCCGTCGGTGCTTGGCCCGTGGACCGTTATCAGTTTTCCGTTGTGCGCTATCTCATAGCCTTTCCGTTTTTTTTCATGGCTGCGGATAATCATCTTTAAACTGTTCTTCAGAAGAAAACGTTCGGTAACATCTGGGCCAAATGCTATGCCAACACCACGTCCACCTCTTTTTGAAGGTGCGCGGCCTTGGCAGTGCTGAGGATCACTCCACAGCATGTCGCAGATCAAAGCTTCAGACCCCTGAATTCCTTTCGGCTCGCAATATCTGTTAAGTTTGCGGATGTCCTTCAGAGTGACATCATCCTTCGAGAACAAGCCTCCATGTACCACGAAAACGGCCCCGTTGATCAGGTGGCAAAGGGGTAGTAAGCGAAAGGCTTCACAAAAGAGATCATACAGGTTCTCTCCATACTTGTCGACCACTTCTTGTTTGAATCCGTAAAATCCATTGATCTGTGCCGTCTCGTGGTTTCCCCTATTCAAATGTATATGGTTTGGTAGCGCTAACTTCCAGGCAAAGAGTGTCAACACCACTTCAGTTGAAAAGTGCCCGCGGTCAACAAAATCCCCATTGAAAACGTAGGGGTTCTGCTCTGAAGGGAGATTGTTCAAGTAGAAGATCTTCAAAAGGTCATAGAACTGACCGTGAATGTCCCCGCAGACTGTGATTTTACCCTCCTTGGGCACGTCGATTTCTACCAATGTGCTGGTACCCTTCAGCAGCGAAATCGTGTCGAGGATGATGCTTTTCGCATATTTCTTGGGCAGGAGATAACCATGCGTTTGATAGGTCATGAGGTATTGGCAAAAATCTGGGGTGCAAGAACCAGTGTAATGGGGGCCATCATATGATGCATCAGCTTCAATCTCCAGATCTGTCACCTGGCAGCATGATGCTGAGCTACAGCTATGATGTCTCTGAGTCAAGACAAAATGCAGCATTCATCATAATATGAGTCTCATATTTACCAGTAGTACCGCACAAGGCGGTGGCGGAAGTTTCAAAAATAGGAAACCTATAGGAGAGGTTGGTTGTTGTGAATCACCGATGGCAGAGCGAAGCCACTGATGGACTGAAAGGTGATTGCTATCTTTCACTCTTTCTCTCTTCTTCTCTCTGTTTCTCTATCTTTCTCTGATTATCTACCGACCTACCTACTGATCTATCTGCCTATCTATCTATCTGTCTGTCTGTCTGTCTATCTATCTCCCTATCTATCTATCTATCTATCTACCTGTCGATCTCCCTATCTATCTATCTATCTATCTGTCTAGCCATCTATCTATCTATCTATCAATCTATCTATCTCATCTACCCAGCTGGCCTCTCTCTCTCTCTCTCTTTCATCTAATTACCTATCTACCTATCTATCTACCTATCTATCTGTCTATCTACCTATCTATCTATCTATCTATTTGTCTATTTGTCTATCTATCTATCTATCTAACTATCTATCTGCCTATCTATCTATCTATTTATCTATCTATCTTTTTATTTAGCTGTCTCTCTATCTATTTGTCTGTCTGTCTATCTGTCCACCTATCTATCTATCTATCCATCCATCTATCTATCTATCTTTTTATTTAGCTGTCTCTCTATCTATTTGTCTGTCTATCTATCTATCTATCTATCTATCTCTCTCATCTACCCAGCTGGCCTCTCTCTCTCTCTCTTTCATCTAATTACCTATCTATCTATTTATCTACCTATCTATCTGTCTATCTATCTTTCTATCTATCTCTCCCTTTCATCTGTCTATCTGTCTAGCTGTCTACCTGTCTATCTGTCTACTATCTATCAATCTGTGTACCTGTCTATCTGTGGTGCAGTGTCATTCAGTGTAATGTAGTCTAGTGTAATGTAGTGTGGTGTAGTGGAGTGTGGCGGAATGTAGTGTAGTGTAGCGTAATGTAGTGTAGTGGAGTGTAGTGTAGTGAAGTGTAGTTGTGTAGTTGTAGTTGTAGTTGTAGTGTAATGGAGTGTAGTGTAGTGCAAGGTAGTGAAGTGTAGTGGAAGATGTAGTGTAATGTGATATAGTGTAGTGTAGTGGAGCGTAGTGTAGTGTAATGTAGTGTGGTGTAGTGTAATTTAGTGTAGTGGAGTGTACTGGAGTGTAGTGTAGTGTAATGTAGTGTACTGGAATGTAGTGTAGTGTAATGTCCTGTAGTGTAGTGTAGTGGAGTGTAGTGTAATGTGGTGTAGTGAAGCGAAGCGACATCTGAACCTCCAAAAGTGGTCCGAACCCCTAGTGTTTTGAACATTTTGAGTTCGAAATATGCTTCGCGTCACAACGGCATGCACTTTTTCGACATCTGAACCTCGAAAAGTGGTCCGAACCCCTAGTGTTTTGAACATTTTGACTTCGAAATGTGCTTCGCGCCACAACGGCGTGCACTTTTTCGACATCTGAACTTCCAAAAGTGGTCCGAACCCCTGGTGTTTTCAACATTTTGACTTCGAAATGTGCTTGGCGCCACAACGGCGTGCACTTTTTCGACATCTCAACTTCCAAAAATGGTCCGAACCTGGTGTGTTTTGTACATTTGAACTTCGAAATGTGCTTTGCGCCACAACAGCGTGCACTTTTTCGACATCTCAACTTCCAAAAGTGCTCCGAACGTGAAGTGTTTTTAGCTTTTTCACTTGCAAATGTGCTTCGCGCCACAACGGCGTGCACTTTTTCGACATCTCAACTTCCAAAAGTGGTCCGAACCTGGTGTGTTTTGTACATTTTGACTTGGAAATGTGCTTCGCGCCACAACGGCGTGCACTTTTTCGACATCTCAACTTCCAAAAGTGGTCCGAGACCGCCAGTTTTGAACACTTTTGACTTCGAAATGTGCTTCGCGCCACAACGGCGTGCAATTTTTCATCTCTCATTTGGCCAGCTGGCTCCGCACCCGCCGCTTTAGCGAGCCTACTTTTCGACCCTCCGGAGCCACAAATCATTGGAAAAACGCAGTGTTTCGCGACTTTCCTACTTTTTCGCGCATCTGCATCTTCTTTCTTCTGACTCTTTCTCTTCTACTCTTCTCTCTTCTAATCTTTCTCTTCTCTCTGCCTCTGCCCTACTCTGCTTTTCATCTGTCCATATTGTCGGAAGTTTGACTTCTAAACTTCCTTCGATCATGACATGCATCTAATTTGCGTTTCTACTTTCCCATTCTCCTACTTTCGTGTGACATGCGCGACTTGCATCGGCAAAACCTTTGGATGATGATCATGCCGATTGACCAGTTTTAGGTGAAAAAGGTTGAAGTGATTCCAAATCCTGCCAGGTAAACAACTCGCAGAAACAGAACATCCGGCATATGTTTCCAGTAAGCAAGCAGTTGTTCTGTCCTTGTGCAGTTCGAATATGGGTGTCACTCGGAATGGTGTTTTAGAATTAGTGTATTGTCATACCCCCCAAAAATGGAAAAGTAACGTCCTAAAAATTTGATGATGCTCTACCGTCATATCATATGTGCGATTAGCATATTTAAATTTATAGGTATAGAATGTTATAAATCTTTCGCCAAGACAGCCACAAAGCGTCAAGAACTGGCCCAAATTGTCCTTAACCCCTACGAGTTAATAGTGAAGACCAAACCCAGGACGCTCTGCAGCGCCAGACTCAAACACAAACAAAGCTCTTGGAAACCACAAAACTCGCCTGCATATCCTGCATTTCAGTAATCTTGTCTTGCAGGTGCTGTACCTGGGAAGGGAAACCAAAATCATTCCGCAACATGTTTTCATTGACTCACATTGACTGCATGATTTTTTCCGAAAACACCACCCTACCTCCATAGTTGACTCCAGCAGCTGGCTTTTCAAGCTGTCCATCTCTTGCCGTTGCTGTTCAGCAGCTGCAGTTGCTGAAGCATGTTGCGCCTCCACAAGCAGCACTGGAAAAACTTTCCACGTGGCCTGTGCATTCAGAAAGGGATTTCATCTCAATGATTCAATTTCCACTTTTCCAGCCTCAATGTCAGCCAGCTTGTCTTTGAGCTGCTGTACCTTCAACCCAACTTGTGCCCACCATTGGGTTCTCCCCACAGTGACCTTTGGCAGAACAATCCTACGGGGATGACATCGAATTTTCAATGAACCCCCAAATCATGGACGGTCTCTGATCCCAGAGGGCCATTTAAGAAGATCCATGGCCAGGTACCCCCAATGGCGATCAAAAATGGATGGTGGTGTGTAAAATCGCACGCAGTTCGATTAATGCAATTCTTGTGGATTGGCCACTCAAAATGCTACTCCTGACTGACCCCCATGTCGATGCCCAAGGCATCACCATGTTGGCTGGTTGAATAACTTCGGAATATCTTCAAACCTCGAAGGATACCTTACAGTGAGTGGGATTCCAATCGTCTCCGTGTTTAAGATCTTTAAGGCCTGGTAGTGTGTTTTGGGCAGCAACAACAACAACAAGAACAAGAAGAAGAAGAAGAAGAAGAACAACAATAACAACAACAACAACAACAACAACAACAACAACAAGAACAAGAGGAACCCTTGGGGCATTGCCGGGGTGCGAAGTCCTACAATGTGAGGTATGCGTATGTATGGATAGGTAGACTGTGACATACATGCATGTATGTTCGTACATTTCTGCATTCCCGCAGCCCTCCTTGAGCGAGGCCTCAAGCTGCCCTTGCATCAAAGTTCTTGTAGTGGGCCACCTGGGCGGCAAGCGATCGAACGAGTCTGCCCAATGGATCTCTGCAACTTGGTAATTTGACAAACAGTAGGGACTTTTTTTGCACAGCAGATGGAAGGGTTTTGGGGCGTCTTGACTCGTTGAAAAGATGCCATCCTGGTTTTCAGACGGTTCTCATCATGTTCCAGTCTCAAAGATATGTGTTAAGTCGGTCACCTCAAGCTCCGCAGTGGTGATGACGATGCCTGGATTGGGTTCCCAAAGGAACATTGGGAAATCAACATCACCGATGGTAGAAGATGATAATTTAAAAAACTTTGAGATCAGCAATAGTTGTGAAAAAAGTGAAGATCAAAAGCCGTATGGAAATTGCAGTCTCTGAATATTCTGAAGGTCCCACATTCTCGCCAGAGAAAATTTTGCTGACGAAAACTACGGCCAGGTGGTTGCGCAAGGTGTAAAAAGCGTCAGTGCAAAATATGGCCATGAGCCGATGAGTCATTTTTTTTTACGCCAACCAGATGGAACCACCAAAACAAAACATCATATTTTCAAGTCATCATTGTTGTTTAAGTATGGAATACAAAGTTGTGCAAGTTTTGTATTCGACCATCATATTGTCATATATTTTCTCTCCATTTTGGCTTCTAACTGTCCCACGGCCTGATCGCTTGAAGACGCCGACCTCGGAGCAACGGCTTGACCGTGGGTAAAACAATAAACCATCCCCCGGTCACCATTTTTATAGGTGGGATAAACTTACCAGTCCCAGTCATGGCTGGTTAGAAAGACATTGTTTTACCCTGGCTGGTTTCATGTTGACCCCAGCATTTTGAATGAGGCCAACAATTATGGTTAATTCATGTTGCCATTTGGCAAAGACCCACATCGCCAGATTGGATCGTGACAGCATGGCTCGTTTGGTGTTACACCATGCAGGGTTACCCCAGCAAAGCACTGCATGATATCATGGATTTCATAGCTGCATGAACATGTGGTAGTATAAACTTTATAAATCCATGGCACAATCAACTGAAAAGTCGTTTCTCTACTCACATGTTGCCACTCTCTTTGCCTCTCTCAGGGCCCAGCGTATTGAGTGCCATGTCGGGTTGACTGGTTTCCTTCACGAAGAATGCCAAGACTCAAAGGAAAATAAAAACATTGCAACTTGCAACCAACAACGATTTGACTTAGCCAGAAAACAAGACCATTCACTGGAAAGTCTTAAGACTCAAAACCCCAGACGCGCGATAAACCCCTTTGGCCTCAATACGTGGCTGCTTCTGCGCTTCAGCCAAAGCCAAGACCTGAAAGATTCCAAAATCTTCAGGTGTCCTTTTCATGAAATCACCAAACCAGGGTGTTGTCACATCCGTTTGGTTCACCTCAACGGTTTTCAAACATTTTTGTTCATGAGCCATAACGATGGGAGGAATGACACTTACAACCTCGCTTGGATAAAGTCTGAGAACATCAGGATGTTCAAAGTTTATCAAAGTTTTTGTTTTAAGAACAGCTCTGAGTGTTGAGTCGTTGTGCACTTGGGATACTGTTTTTCGGGCGATGCTTTTTTTCGATGTTCCAATCTACGTCCGGCGCTCTATACACATATGTATACGCTCATATGCATGCTTCCATCCAAATAAGAAGAATAGCTAGTTGTCTGTCACAAAGGCTTTGTATGTGAGGTGATCCGCTTCCACTTCAATTTCCCCTTGAATCCAATGTGTTGGCCTCAAAATAGGCATTGTTTTGTAGACGGTATGCGTAGATCAATGCGTGGACTTAACCGGGTCATTCCTAGAAATCGTTTGGAACACTGCTGACACAAGTTCGAAACATGTAGGAAACGCATGCGAATCAAACCGCAAGACACATTGCAAGCACGTGAGCAGCATGTCGCACGGTGATAGGAAAACGCTTCGAAGACATTATGGAAACATATAGGGAAACAATTCAAACACAACAAAGACACATAGACAAGGAGAAACAGTGAACAAACAGTATCAAACTGATGGTGTACAGCCATCGGAAAAATAGACAAATTAGATTATTGTCCCAAGTATGGTTGAAATTGCAGATCTGAAATAAAAGGTCTAAATTCACCAAATCGGATCTGCACTCTTACATACATGCTAGCAATAAACCAACAAACATGTATATTTACATATTCTATGTGCTCGGATTTTTATGTTATTTATCTGTTGGCCCAGTGTTTCTTACGGTTTTGTTCCTGTTCTATGTGGTCAGACCGAAAAACATCGCAAGTTAGAAAACCTGTTCTGTGTTCTGTGTTTTTTTTTGCTGTTCTAGCTGCGCACATTGAACTCTGTTGCTGCTCGACTTTTTCAACAAGTTTTTCCAAAAATTGTTCTAAATATATTTCAACACTGAAAATAGGTAGAACGATGAGATAAATTAGATAAATTAGATAAATTAGATAAATGAGAACGATAACATAAATAAGAAAGACAAGAAAGATAAGATAGATAAGACAAATTCGATCCATTGGAGAGAGTAGAAAAATTAGAAAGATAAGATAGATAAGATAGACAAGATAGATGAGATAGATTAGACAGACAAGAAAGATAAGAAGGGATCGAATAAGATAAGGTAAGATAGATAGACAGAATGATTGAAAGATAGATTGATTGAAAGATTGATAGATAGATCTATTAGATAGATAGATTAGATAGATAGATTAGATAGATAGATTAGATAGATAGACTAGATAGGTAGATTGGACAGATAAGATTAGGTAGATAGATTAGATAGATAGATTCGATAGATTGGATAGATTATATAGATTAAATAGGCTAGATAGATTAGATTATATAGATTACATAGATTAGATTAGATAGATGAACAAGAGAGTTAAGATAGATAAGAAAGAAAGAAAGAAAAGAAAGAAAGAACGAAAGAACGAAAGAACAAACGAAAAAAAAAGAAAAGAAGAAAGGGAGGAAAAAAGGAAAAAAGGAAGAAAGGAAGGTAGATATAGATAGATAGTCAGATAGATAGATAGATAGATAGATAGGTAGGTAGGTAGGTAGGTAGGTAGGTACGTAGGTACGTAGGTAGATAATAGGTAGATCCACTTCTCCAGACATTCCCGGGCACCCGCGCTATATCCATTGTCTACCCCTTAAAAACCATCAAATTCATTGCCTTTTGCGCAATATGATAACGTGATGCCTACTAAGGCCATTGAGCTGATTTCGGTTTACGGATGAACTTTTTGCATATAGCAAAAACCTATCTAGCTATATTCTTATAGGTTTTTTTTGTTTGTATAAAAATCACCTCGAAAAAAACTAAAACTCCGAAAACCATCGCCCCTCAAGGCATTTCAAAAAACACACATGGGCAACATTCTTCCCACCAAAATTCGACTTAAATGATGACCCAAACATGGTAAGAAGAACACTAAGTTGGCGATACTCAAGGGTCTGGGTTGGAAACATGTAAGGCCTGAACGGAAACCTTCGAGAAAAACAACATTTGTCATTTGGAGTTACGACTACAAGGTTGTGCGAGGTAAAATGGTGTATGTAAGAATCGGGATGTTTTTTACTATTTACAAACAAAAAAAACGCATTTGTCACTTTTTTCGACCTGAGCGGCTCAATATTGTACAGCATTGTCCAGTCCAGCTCGTTTATTTTCTGGGAGGTCAGGCTCACATCAGGCTTGCATGCTCCAACATCTGTTTTAGTCCTCCTATGTGTTTCTTTCTGTTTGAAACTCAAAATCTATGTGAGTTGTTTGTGGTTTTGTAATTCGCAGCGCTCTCTCCATGATCTATATATGTTATATAGCGGTATGTTAGTGGTTTCCCACATATTTTGCCTCTTGGCAAGTCCGCGTGAAAACCTATGTTATATAGTGATTTTGTATGGATTCTGCATTTAATTCTCCACATCTGTTTTAGTAGCCTGAATGAACATTTAATGTTTGAATCTGCCTGGGTTTTGTTAGGTCTATGTTATTGGTCAATCGTTGCAGGAGCTATGTCAGTGATCCTTTGCATGTTCGTAGTTGTACACTTCGTGTTTGATTTGGTACCAGTATGATATTGAAGGTCTATGTTATTGATTCAAACGGGTTTTGCGTCTTGCAGCTCAATCAAAAGGGTCTCTGTTTGCGGTATTCATTATGTTTTTTCTCAACTCCAAATGGGAGTCTATGTTAGTGGTTTTCTATGGGCCTGTATTTTCCACACTTCAATGTCGAGGTCTATGTTAGCAATTTTGGATGGACCTACAGTACCTAAAACTATATAACGATCACCTGGAGGAACAAATTCAAAACTTTACGAAGTTCATCACCCGGCAATTGATATCCATGTTGGGTCCAAAGCACCACGGACACAATGCAAGCCCAGCAAAAAAGAGCTAACATAGATCCAGAGAGGTTCTACAATTATGTTTGTGTTCTAGTTGGAGCCCCTGTGCACTACGCACTCTGGGGCTGAACGCTCACACTAACATAGACGTTGAGATACAGTAGCTCTTGGCAACATGCTAGATTGAAATGAAGGACTAATAAATAGATAAATAAATGAATGAATTGAATGAATAAATAAATAAATGAATGAATAAAAACAAATATGCATCCATCATCCATCAGGAATTGCGATAATATTGGGAATGTTTAATACCGCAAAGGTAGGCCCTGCGACTTGTGCGGCAAAATGCAAAACCCACTTTGATCACTAGCACGGACCTGCATTAGCTTGAAAGATCAAGAGAAACATGGATCCGCACCTTGCTTTTGCAAATGTCCCATGTAAGACTTTTTGCGAGCGCAAATGAAACAGAGGCAAACATAGTGTATAACAGGTGTGGTTTGACCAAGTTGTCCCCGAGTGGAAACATGCGATTTTACATTCTTGTTGAAAAAAAATCGAAAACTAACATAGATGGGAACAGCCCCCAAAAGGCCACCAACATAGCGGTGAAACCAACAGATGGAAATGTATGAAAACTCCAGCTCACACAAATAGTCTTTGGAAACTGTTTAGAGTCATGCTAGTTCTGTTTTTTGTGTTTCCCGCAAGGTTTCAAGACATACACGAGTCCAAAAACATGGATGTGCAGAAATTCACAGATCTATGTTTGTGGATTTTCCCAATATCGTTAGATTGCACAAACTGCATTTTGCCACTAACACTTCATTTGTTCTAGCAAACAAAACCCACTAACATAGACCCGAAACTGATTCATTAAACATACCGAGTTCAATTAGGTCAGTAAGATGGCCAAGTGCAAAATCAATACAAACCCCCTAACCTAGATACCAAATTGTTTTCAAAAACACCAAATTCTACTAACATAGATGTAATGGGTTACGAGTGAAATCCATGAACAAAACCTAATATAGATCCGATAATTGAACAAACAAGCTAAAATATGCCAAAATCGTTCAGGATCCTATTCACATAGATATGGGGCATCAAGCGCAAATCCATCCAAAACCACTAGCATAGACAGCATAGATGTTTATTTCGATTTCCTAGATGCAACATTTTGTAAAAACATGTGGGAAACCACTAACATAGATCTTGGAGGCTGCATTGCAAGGTGCAAAAGCAACCAAATAGAACATAGATAACCTAAATATAAATACGAAAACACAAACACTAAACAACTAACACGGATATGCTGCGATTCCAGAATGATGCAAGTCTGACCGTCAAGGATATTAACAAAGATATTGATTTGTTGAAATGATTTTCAACATCCTCGGTAGTTTCAAAACATGATATAATTTTACATTATAATAGTTTCGCATGCAGACATGCTTTGTGATTTCCAGAAGCATTTCTGGTGACATCTAAGCAATTTGAAATAATTGGATTTTGGTGTACAAAAACACAACTAGGACTATAACAGTGTGCAGACGAAAACCATGGAGAGGGACACTTTTCTGAGGCTGACATGCATGGCAGGACAAGCAAAGGCTTGGTTGGTCACGTTTGAAAGGGTGCATTTGGTTCGGTTTTTTTCGGTCAAAAATAAACCGCACAAGAAAGAAAATCGGGCACTCGCATATTCTAATGATTGAAATTCTGATAAAACGTTATAGGCTATAGGTATCGACAGCTTGATATTTTCTGCCGAAATAGGATGATATATTGCAGGCCTATGGTTCATTCATACGATGTTGGTACAATATTTGGGCCAATGTTTGTACAATGCATAGTCCGTACAATGTTCGTACCATGTTCGTACAATGTTCGTACAATGTTCGTACAATGGCCAAAAAAGTTCGTACAATGTTCGTACAATCTACCACTAAAGTTCGTACAATATTGTACGAACTTTTGGCCATTGTACGAACATTGTACGAACATTGTACGAACATTGTACAAACATTGTATCCAGAGTCTCCGAAAAAAGTAAATTTACTTAGGAGTCTAACTTATGTAAATTTTGTGGCGACATCCTAAATTGATTCAAGTTGTAGTTGAAACGTGCATTGCATTTTCTTGTGTTGTATGTGTTTTTAATGTTTCTCAGGCAACTTTCTCAGGCAACTTATGGGTCATGATATGCAATTTGTTTGTAAGTCAGAGTAACTTGTGTGTATAATTCGTAGTTGCCTGTGTGTACAACGCATGGTTACCTGAGTGTAATTCATAGTTACTTGGGGTAATGCAAAGCTACTTGAATGTAATTCTCAATTACTTGTGTAATTCACAAATCCTTGTGAGATAAACTCATTTAAAACATTGTGTGCACCAACAACACCCTGGGAGTTGAGGTGCCACTGTTCTTAATCCCTATGCAAATTCAAGGTATGAACTTGGTTGACATGAGATATGTTGCAACATTAGCACATGTCTCAAGTAACATCATCCATGAATAAACATCACATTTTATCACATGAACCTCTCAAAACAATGCCATTTCTTTCATTACAGAATCTCAGGTAATAAACAAGACTGGCAACTTGAACCCTCCGGTGATGAACCAGCTGAAAACATGTGTTTGTGTATTTGGAAAGAGTTGACTACCGTTTAATTCTTGTGGCAAGCTGTATTGTCTGTGAAATGTCTTGGTCGCAGCATTTTACTTGTGAATGCCATGTGCGTATTTGTTGTTCCTATCTTGTCCATACCAAAAAGAAAAATATGTAAGCATATGGATATGCAAATATATACTGTTATATACTTGTCAAAAAATAGGGGTGCCCCAAAGTGTACATTCTTCAATTGGGATTTAAAGCTTTGGGGCACCCCTATGTTGAGGCATCATCACTTGTATAGTATATAAACTGATACTCGTGTATTCAGCATGTCATTTATTGAACTTGTTACGTCTGTAACCCATATGCTCTATTTGTGGACAACTGCCAAGGCCACATGATTACTTGTGGCATTGTTTCTTTTTTGTATGCATTTGCATGAACATAAGTCAATCATTTATCTTGATCATGTCTGGCGCAGATTGACAAGAACGATGAAAAAATGAATTTAGAATTACTTGTGGCAATTATGTTGGATCCTTGTGGGTATGTTCAACAAGGAGTTCCACTTATATAGTAATGTATATAAACACTTCCCAATATATAGCCAATGTTTGTTCGCCTTCGGATTTCTTCCATTTTTTTCTGAGGTTCTTATGCATGTTTGATGATGTTCTATTGAAATTTTGATGAACAAAGAAAAACTGCATGCAGTTCTTATGCAGTTTTGTTTTTGTTTTTAATTTTCAACCAAAAACCATACCTTTTTGCAAAAAGATAGTTATGACGTTTTCAAAACAGCATACCAGCTGCATATGAACTGCACAATATTTTGTCTTCTATTGCTCATCAAAATTTCAAAATAACTTCATCAAAATGAAAAAAATAGAAAGTGATAGAGCATTGACTCGAAGTTTCTTGTGAAGTTTGTAAAATCTACATATAGCGATGTCTCAAAATGAGGTGTCCTTTTTTGCTCTTCAAAGTGATATTTTGGGGGCCAAAAAGGACACCTCACCCTGAGACATACTCATATCATATTGAATTCAGGACAAAAATCAGCAGACATTCACAGTATATACAACATATATCCATGGGATATTCAACTCATGATTGGCCGAAACACCATTTCCAACTGTGCGACAAAGTGGCAACACACCAGACAACTTGCAGTCATCAGAGATACATCATCTCAGGTAAGGAGTGATTAAAACTATCACTTAAATGAACGTATTTCAGATACATCCCAGTGAAGGGAAAAATGTGTTAATACTCACGTTTTTTTTCAAGTAACCAGTTCAAGCAAGATACTCAAGTAATGACCTCAAGTAAACATTTCACCAACAGCAGCACCAAATGACGACATCTATGCCAGCTGACTAAACAACTTTTTGGGATTTCACAAGCTGATTGATCAAACATGGGCCCTTGCCCTTATACGGCCAACATGGTAACCAACTCAAAACCAACAGCAATCAAAAACAAGGTAGGTGGACAGAAATACCCTTCAACAAAAATCATTGGTTTCAGTTTCTTTTTCCACAATGTTTTCATGAATAAGTAACATGCATCATCAGAAGCAACTCAAGTACAGTCACAGGTAGCATAGTGAATCATAAGAAGGAAGAAGGTCACATAGGTAACAGGTTCAAATTATTGAAAAATTGACAAGTAGTTGTTCAAAAGAAGAAAACAAACCCCTAATCCGTTCGCACAGTTTTTCTCACAAGTAAACCCACTGGACAAACCTTACATCAGCAATCAACAGACACATGCAAATGCATGCAAATGTCATAAAAATGAGCAAACAAACATGCACAAACCACATCAACATTGATAGAAAATCTGCACCATACCGAGTTGCAAAGAAAAACAGAAAACAAATATGTGACATGTGTTCATTCAAACAAGAACCACTTAAAAAAATGGTATAAAAGTAGTAAATCAATATAGGTTAGGTAAGGTATATAAGTATATTTTGGTTATCAAAAATGTTCTAGTAAATGCTTGCCCTAAATTTAATCAAACTATAGTGAATTTGGTTGTAGGTCAAATTACTAATTTAGGAGACGTCCATAAATTTTGTATATTTTTGAGGTTTGAAGGGAGAAATGATGAAAAATGCACTGAGGTCACAATAAATATGCATTTTCAAAATACCAAAATCAAAACTTAAAAAAAAAAACGCCGACTCATACTCCATCATTGCCACAAAATGGTCTGCACATTGGCCCAAATTTATCCAAATTGTGCCATCCACTGGCTAGAGAAGGTGACAAAAAAAATGCTGTCAGCAACACCATTTGGTGCTTTGATCTTTCTGAACATTATTTGGTGCAAAATGGTTTTTATACCCCCAAAAAAACTGTTATTTTGAGTTTGAGTTTTTAAAATGCTAAATTCCATGCATTTTGTTTTTTAAGTTTTTTCCATGTTGCCCCCAACTTCCTATTTTGCCGAAATCCCCTCAACGGCATCAATAGTGATGCCTAACAAAAACTTCCTGGGAGACCCCTGTCAAAGTGGACTGCGCCAGGAGGCTGCCACCTCTAAGACCCCTACCCACTGGGATCCGGCTGCAACTGCAGCTGCAGCAGCTGCTGCTGCTACCTGTCCATGTCCAGCATCAGTTTTCTTCAGTCTTCCAGCAGGGCACCATGAACATGCAAACACATATTATTGACATATTTTGCAACAAACAAACTCGAAACTATAGAACATAGCCAGCTACAAATGGAATAAAACGATCGGAGCAACTCATCAGGGAAAACAATGACAGAGAACTTACACAGGCAAAACCATCAGAGAAGAAAGCTCACTATAATAAGCCAAGGTGTTTCCATTGAGAGCAAACTATAGTCGAACAATCATTGTCAATTCACGGTCATGTCGCGCATTCTCTGTATTTCACGCAGTGGATCCTAGCATCAGCAGTTTAAATGGTAGATTCGTCATCAAAATCTTCCAGTGGAGGCAACCAAACACCGCCCACAACCAAATCCTCATAGGGACAAACTTACGAGTAAAAAAAATCAGTCACGGGTCATTGTTCCACATGAAACCATACATGAATTCGGCGGATATCATTTTGACCTAGTCATGGGGCCAAACCGGCACTTGAAATTACCATATCTAGTTTCGTGTGTGATACATCAGCGTTTTGAACATTATCTTTGTATACCAAATATACTAAGCTGATGTCAATCTCAGACCTACATACATACATACATAACAAAACAAAACATTCCATTCCATTCCATTCCATTGCGCAACATTACATACATACCATTACATACCATTACATACCATTACATACCGTTACATACCGTTACATACAAGTACATACGATTACATACCATTACATACCATTACATACCGTTACATAAAAATAAATACAGTTACATACAATTACATACAATTACATACCATTACATACCATTACATACCATTACATGCCATTACAAACCGTTACATACCGTTACATACCATTACATACCATTACATACCATTACAAACCGTTACATAACATTACAAACCATTACGAACCGTTACATACCATGACATTCCATTACATACCATTGCTTACAAGTGCACACCATTGCGTACCATTGCATACCATTGCAAGCCATTGCATACCATTACATGCCATCGCAGACAATTACATACCATTGCAGACCATTGCATACCATTACATACCGTTGCAGACCACTACATACCATTGCAGACCATTACATACCCCTACATGCCATTACATACCATTACATACCATTAGATAGAATTACATACCATTACATTGCATTACAAAGCATTGCATAGCATCACAAAGCATTACATAGCATTACATAGCATTACATAACGTTACAAAGCATTACAAAGCATTACATAGCATTACATAGCGTTACAAAGCATTACAAAGCATTACATAGCATTACACGCATACAAAGCATTACATACATACAAAGCATTACATACATACATAGCACTACATACATACATACATACATACATACATACATACATACATACATACATATTATTGCATACATACATAGCAGTGCATACATACATAGCATTGCATACATACATAGCATTGCATACATACATAGCAATGCATACATACATAGCAGTGCATACATACATAGCATTACATACATACACCGCATTACATGCATTCAAAGCATTACATGCATACAAAGCATTACATACATACATAGCATTACGTACATACATGGCATTACCCACATACATAGCATTACATACATACATAGCATTACATACACACATATATTTGTATATACACATATGTAATTCATATGTATATCTAAATATGAGGAATAGTAAACATCCAGGTTGTTCAAATAATTTTTGCCCTCCGTAAGTTTTGGCAAGGCGCCCATGGCGCAGCAAGCACCGCCAGGCTGGCAGTCCCGGCGGCGCCGGCTGCAGCTGTGGCGGCCGCGGCGCCAGATGCTGCAGCGCCGGAAGCCGCAGGCGATGCGAGGGCAGCGCCTGCGACCTACAGCCCCGCTGCGGTGTAGCCAGCAATTTTTTTGTTTCTTGGATTTGTCCAATTTTGTTCTAATTACCATTGTTATATGTCTATTTTGTTATATATATATGGAATTGCCCAAATTTGTTCTACATTGTTCATTGTTCTATACTGTTCTCATTGGCAAAGAGTCATAGAACCATTGCCATCCAGTGAAGCAATGATAGGTTATGACACCAAGGCCAAGGCCCCCAGAGACGCTCCAAAGCTGCCCAGAGAAGCACCGAAGCTGCCATAGGCTCCTTGCAATGGACCACAAAAAGCTTGGACCACCAAGGGGGCCCAAGTCATGGCCAAGTTTGATTTTTGATTTTCAACCAATAAACTATTCGATTCATGGCCAAATTGGGGAAGACACACCCAGAAAGGAGCGAAAAAAATCAAATCCGACAGCTTGAAACATCGCCTCCAAGGGCAAGAGCGCACTCCATCTCTAAGCGCCGCTGTCGAAGGGTGGGCTGCAAGATGTCAATCGCGTAATATCTTCCATATCACATCAAGCAGTTGCTTGAGCTCTTGATATTTGCTGCCAATGACTTGAAGTGCTGAATTGCATCAGATCATTGCTGAAGTGCAAGTGAGGTGTGAACGACTTTAGCTCATCCTTGATATTTTAGAGCCCAACATTGCCCAACATCCACGAAATTCAGCGATTGTGCCCTGTGTCAAGCACACTACATAGCCCTGGAAAAAGGTTCCCCAACCAGGTTGGTCAACATTGGATTGGAAACGTCCATACGTCCCATCCATGAAACACAGAGTGATGGAAAAAAACTGGAAACAAAGTAGCAGCAATTTGAGAAGTACTGGAATTCATTTTATTTATAGCAAGCCAAAACAAACCAAAACGAACCGGACCCAAACTAGAATTGCAAAATGTGTTGTTTATTTCAACTTTCGCTTTGGCCTTAGAGCCCGAATTTGGCCAGCTCCTTTCCAACAGCACGAGACGGTTGAGATGAAGACTCAGACAATTTGTTTGGTGAGTTGTGAAAAAGATATGTAGATGTCTGAATACTTTCTGAAAACAGTTGAAATTCAAAAGTCATAATGATAGCTTCCCACTTTCAGCGACGACCCTCATCATTTTTAGCGCCCTCAATGGAGTTGGCGCCAATGGAAGGAGTGTTCAACGTCGACGTGGCCCTGAACTTGTGGGGTGATCTTCGCATGCGGGTGGAGATAGTAAAATTGGAGCTATTCCCGATGTAAAACACACAGACCTGAATGCGAATGTGTCCTGATCCAAAACGTCAGAAAAGGAATCTAGCAATGTGTCCTCCAAAATGTCTGAGGAATCTAGCGCAGTGACAAAAAAAAGCTGTATAAAACTACATAAGACTCACAAATGGAGCCAGCATCAAATCGGCTCAAATTAGAGGCTTCCAAACCCCCTATACATCCCTTACCCGCTTCACTCAAAGTTGATGTTTTTGAGATCCTCAGCCGCAATCTCCCGCCCCTTCACCATGAACATGTTGGAGCTGGTCCATGATAGTACAGATACATATATATATATGCATATATATATAAATATGTATATATATATAGATAGATAATGGATCTAGACACAGATGTGGATGATGTAGGCATGGTCCCAGGACGATCTGCCTGCACCGCTGGGCCCAGTGGGCCCAGGGCATTCGGGTCACCGCTCGGAACTGGCAGAAGCCTCGATCAATCACCAGATTTCTTGGTAAAATCAGCCGAAATCCCATGAAATCCAGATGTTCCTGGGGATTTTTGATGATTTGTTCTTGATAATTTTGGTAAATGCACCGTAAATCAGGTCAAATCCCTTTTTGTTGATGTTTCTGGAATTTTGTTCTGGGTAATTTGGTCGCACATACATCCCGATATTGATGTTCAACAATGAGTGGGTTACTTAAAGGGTACTCTCAGCAGCGGGGTTTCACCGCTGAAATCTTGATGTTCAAAGATGTTCAAAAACTAGGGAGCCTAAGCAAGAATGGGCTTACAGCCAATCAGCATGGTAGCAACCAACTTGCCAATAACCCCCCAAGATCCGGAGTGCTCCATTGTGAACCAAGAACCAACCTTGATCCTTCAGTGCGATTGGTGATGAAATAGTCGATGACTTGGGCCCCAACATTTTGCATACAAAGAGAGTTATAGAAATCTGTGATCAATGTGGCAAATATCTCTCATGTTCGCTGCTTAAAATCCACAGCATTGTTGCTGTTTGCTAGTTCATCCTCAGTTTTGCAATGTTTTGCCCATCTAATTGTCCATGAAACAGCTTGTTAGTTGCTTCTAAAGGAAGCCATATTTGTCTTTCTTTTTTGGTTGGTGCTAGCGGTCGCAGAAATTTCCTCCAAGTAGCTGTGAAGGGTTTAGCGGGAAGAGCGTCCGGAAGTAACCTAGGACTGCCGGGAAGGGTCACATGGTGGGTTGGTCAAAAATTCCTGGATCTGGGAACGGTTTGGACAAAAGATCCTAGAACATGATAGTTATGAGCAACCAACATAACAATGGGAAGTGTTGTACTTTTCCGGATAGATGATAGATTATGTTCCAGAAAAGATTTTTTTTGGGAAATTTTCGCCGGACGCAAAACCATATTTGGGTGAATCCAGATCCTACATCAAACAGGGGATTCCACCATCAGACAGGCTTTTCACCCACTAGAAATGAGAATTTGAACCAATTTGAACCGTAACACCGGGATATTTACCATCCAAAAAAACAAAACCCAAGAAAAACAAACAGCTGAGTGGTCAGATATCGTATATGAACTCAAACTTGTGTAGCCAGAAAAAAGGACATGGCTTACTATGATAATCACTAAAACCTGTGGGTCCAAGAGTCTGACATTTTGATAGGGAAAGGATGTTGCTGACACACTGGCATAGTCGAAGTCATGTTTGGATGCGGCCGTGGTCATCATGGACATTTTTAAGCTGAGGTTTAAGGTGAAAACCCTTCAACACCTGGTGATATTCAAGTCAAACATGCCAGAAACTGCCGAACCAACCACAAATTTTGAACCCCCAATCATCAACACCCAAGGTCGAAGGCTGCACCCAAGCACCATCCACATCATCCACCTATTCTCCGAAGGCTGCTGCAACGCTTCTCGAAGGATCATCCAGGATCATGCCACTTTGTAACTGTACCACTGCAGGTTTGGCATAATCCAACTCTACACAAAAAGACTGGTAACCCCATTGAAATATCTACAAGGAACTATACATATAATTAATATTCCCATAGCATCCATAGCTACTAATGTTAGTAAAACAATGTCATAAACCATCCCCAATTTCACTATTTTTATAGGTGGTATGTTTACGGGCAAACCCCTCAGTTTGCCCGCGCCGACGCCGACGACATGTCCGAACATCAAAAACACAGTGTGTTTTGTGGGACAAAATGCACATGTCCATGATCATGGCTTTCATCTTGCAACGCGCAGCTTAGCTACCTGTGCGTTGAATGTTACAACAACAACAACATCATCATCATCATCATCATCATGATCATCATGATCATCATGATCATCATGATCATCATGATCATCATCATCATCATCATCATCTAACCCTTATTGAAGATCTTCAATGAATGTAGAAGTTTAACGGGGGTGGGAGAATTAAACCCTTATTGAAGATCTTCAATGAATGTAGAAGTTTAACGGGGGTGGGAGAATTAAACCCATATTGAAGATCTTCAATGAATGTAGAAGTTTAACGGGGGTGGGAGAATTAAAACCCTTATTGAAGATCTTCAATGAATTTAGAGGTTTAACGCGGGTGGGAGAATTGAACCCTTATTGAAGATCTTCAATGAATATAGAAGTTTAACGGGGGTGGGAGAATTAAACTCGTATGGATGGCCTTCAATGAATGTAGAAGTTTAACGGGGGTGGGAGAATTAACCCTTATTGAAGATCTTCAATGACGTAGAAGTTTAACGGGGGTGGGAATTTATATTCCTTCAAAATCCCTAAGAAGTTGTGCGGGCGAACTGGGGGGTTTGCGCGTATGTTTATCATTCCCAGTCATGGATGGTTTATGACATTGTTTTACCCACATTTGTGGGTATGAGTCAACTAAATATCCAGTGATTAATGGGATTTATGGAATTTAATATCCATTATATAATATCCACTAATTAATGATGTGGATGTTATCCATTAATATCCATTAACATCCATTAACCAGTTATAAACCAGGGATGTTCCACCAATCCATGGTTTCTTTCAGCTCATCCTCCCAGGTTCTACGCCCTTGGAGATCCCGACTCTCCTGGCATCGCCGGACGTCCACCGTCGGCGGCACCATAGGCAGCGCCCAGCAGCGCTGCAGCCAGCGCCGGCGCGCAACATGCAAAATCTAGTGAGTCCAGGAAGCGAAAACCCCCCAATGCAGTAATCGTCTCTCGCCAAATGTTGTAAGCAAAAGAAACGCAATATCAAAAAAAACAACGCCCCCCCAAATACAAGCCCGAATCTGCATAATGATGTTCGAGACAATGCAACATATGTATGATGATGATATGGATGATGATGTTGTTGATGATGATGTGGATGCTGCGAATGATGGAGATTTTGATGATGATGAGGAGGAGGACGATGATGAGGATGAGGATGAGAATGAGGATGAGGATGAGGATGGGGATGGAGGATGAGGATGAGGATGATGATGAGGATTTTATTGATGATGAGTCGATGAGGATTTTATTGATGATGATGATGATGACGATGATGCTGATGCTGATGATGACGACGAGGAGGAGGAATATTATTATGATCATTTGGAAGCCGGCAAGTTTCCGATAATGATAATATTATAGAGTTGTTGGTTGGTTGACTGAACATGACGTCCTGAAGATGAAATACTGAAGAGGACGACCCTATACCTGCAGGAAACCAATGGCCCAGCGGGACCAGGGGATGAGGATGCTGATCAGCAATGAGGAGGACGAAGAGGATGATGAGGATGATGAGGATGAGGAGGGTGAGGATGAAGATGAAAATGAGGATGATGACCCTCTACCAGTCGGAAATCTCCTCTCGGGGGGGGGGGCTCGGGCGGGACCAGGGGGGGATCGAACCTGGGCCTGCCAGGGGGGGGTCTACAGTAACTGGAAAGTTTCAGGGTTTCCAATGGTCCTGGTGCCTGCCTATTCCTTGCTAAAGCAAGAGCAACTTCAGCTAGCACATCTAGCTTTCGTGACTTGCAAAGCACACCGTTGCTAAATATAGTGGCAGCCAATCCTTTTCTGCTAAGTTTTATCTGCTCTTGTACCGGAGCGGTTCCGTGTAGAAGTTTTCCGGCCTGAGCAAATCAAAGAAGTAAAATTTGTAATGCAACATATCAATCAAATACGCGAATGCAAGTGTGTTCGCCCGAGCCCACCACCAATGCTGTTGAATTTCGTAGCGCCTCTGGCAATCAGAACAAGTAACACTTTTCGAAGGCACACGGACTGCATACATGGGTCGAGGCTGGCACTCTCCGGCGACGGCATTTGACAAGTCAATTTGGGGCTGATAATACCTGATCTGAGCAGTGGGATGGGATGGCAGTTCTTCAGATAACCATGCTACGCCGCTACGCCTTTGCATCCAAGACACGTACACTCTCGGCCTTGCTCTGAATTATACGGGGGTGTCACGACATCAAAAAAGCAGCAGTCCTGGCCAGAACGCAAAAAAACAGAAGTTCAAAACTCTAGTTACCCACTCCTCCATAGCTTCCAAGTAGTGCAAATTGCCAGTGTCTGGCGCAAGCGAATATGACCTGCCATTCAAACGTATAAAGCGACTGCTGAAATCTGGCCTGCAAATATATATATAAGGCCTTATCTAACAAAAAGTACTTTTGAGATGAGCAGGAGATGGCCTCGAATCTGGACCGTGCACCTGAAATGCTGAAAACACCAACGCAAAGTGTGTGGCACAAAGTCGTTCAAATTTCGAGCAGCAAAGTATTTTCATCATGTTTCACGACTGACTCCAAACGACAAGTCGCGGCCTCGATGGACCGCACGCGGGCCCACTGCCTACAAGCCAATGAGAATTGTATTGCATAAAATTGCACTCTGCAAATGAACGACCTGCAGTGATCTGCAGCGAACAGTCTGACCCACGACCCACGCCATGCTGTGTGAAACGTTTACTCGCAAAGATTGAGTATACATGCGCCAAACATGGGTGTGTCACCCCATTGCTGCGAAAGTGTTCTTATGTACCAGACCCCACCTCCTGGGGTTTCTGCGGGTGCCTGGCAGATCCAGATTGATTCAAAGAGGACCGTGTTGTGCCTTGATCCTTAAAGATCTTTCCTGTACTTTCGCCGTGCCTTTGTCAATGATGTCCTCCAAGTCGAACTGCGCGCAAGACGCAGCAGGATTCGAAGACACTTGTTTTCATATAAATCTTGGCATTGTTGGAAAAACCGTGAGAGACACAGCCAAAGTTTGCTTGGAAACCTAGAACAGTGACATTGCAAGCATCAAAGGAACGTTGCTGCCATGATCTGGTTGGATTTTGCGCACCGCTGGTTGGATGATGGCTGCTTTGGCCACGCTCAATTGGAAGCTGGCCAACTTAGAAAATTATGAAGCGACCAAGCTGCATGCAAGAAAACAACCCCAGCAGCAAAGAGCAGACTGTCAAAAATCACGCAACCAACACTGATCGAGAATGGAAGGGTATCTGTTGGTTTCAGTCCCAAAACGAGGGGAGGCAAGCTGGACTCTGCTGAAACCCCAGCGCTACAACGAACCAGAGTTGAAGCACACGGGACAGTCAGGAAAAACAGCTGTTTTTTTTCGGATGTGGTGCTTTTGTTCTTTTTGCATGTTTGGTAATAAAGAGGTTCAGAGGTGCGGCGAACTCGGCTGCAAAAAAGTTGCAACGCGTCATGGCAGGCCATACAGCTTCATTGGGCGGCTGAGCGTTTGCCCCCGTCCCTGCAAATAATTGGACGGTTCTCTAAACAACGCGCGGTGAAACTGCATATGTGAGCTTTGGATATGTTTTCTGAAAAACCACAGTCGTTCATTTGAACGAACGCGGAGTCCAGAAAGTGCATCTCCTTGAACTCAAAGCTATGCAACCACCAAGGGTTCAGCCTGGCAACAAGAGCGCAACAAATTTCGACAAACTCACCTTGGAACTTTCATGGACATGGCTCTCTGAACAGTGAAGACGATCTCACCGATCCGGTTTGTGGCCTCTGCTACCTGCATCGACCTGGCAAAGCAAACAGAATAAGGTGCGAGGGAAAGAAAACCTTTTGAGTTGTACAGAGTGACAACCACATGAGAGGTGCGTGTGATCATGTTGTAAAATCGCAGGACTCTACTCGTGCTGGCATGGTTTCAGTGCCATGTGAGAGCCCCAAGCATAATTTCATCATTTTGTAGCGGCATCTGCAGTGTTTGAGAGGCCCGGACAGACATCGCTGCCCCAAAACCGAAACATTGAAGTTGATTGCGGACTGAAATGTGTTGTCTCTAACGCTAAAACTTGAACAGCCTGTCAACTACCTGCTCAACCAACGCTGTGACAATTAGGAAGGCGAAGCCTTGAAAGCTGCCCAGAATATTGGCGACGACAAACCTGCCAATGACTCAATGCAAAGGACAGTCAGCCGTGTTTTTCACTGCGTCAGAACAGATTCTTGATGATATTTACATGTGCAGCATGTGCATGAGGTCCCCACCATTGTTGCCAAACCCGTGCTGATTGCAAGGACTGAGATGCCCACGACCTCATTTTGCAAATTGCAAATGGGAGGGAAATCTTCCGACAGCTATGGTTTTGACGGATGCGATCTCGAGTCCTGAGGCCTCTGAGGCCTCCGACAAGAGCACTGCGCCCTGAGGAACTGGTCGCAGATGGTTTTGCCTGGTCAAACCTCGCTATTTTCAGAAGTTGCTTCTGCATCTGAAACAGCGCCTTTGTCCAAAACACATTCATCTGCCTCTGCCTTCATCATTTTTTCCCAAAAGCATCTTCGATGCTTGGGTTCTTGTTTCGTTGGTGAACCGCGTGGGGAGCGAGCTGCTTTGAACGGTGGTGTGCGGACGGTGTGGGTGCAAGGGAAAGGAAGGGAAAGGAAGGGAAAGGAAGGGAAAGGAAGGGAAAGGAAGGGAAAGGAAGGGAAAGGACGGGAAAGGAAGGGAAAGAAAGGGAAAGGAAGGGAAAGGAAGGGAACGGAAGGGACATGAAGGGAAAGGACGGGAAAGGAAGGGAAAGGAAGGGAAGGGAAGGGCAAGAAAGGGAAAGGAAGGGAAAGAAAGGGGAAGGAAGGGAAAGGACAGCTTGCTTGGCTATTGCACACCGTGACTCAATGCTTCCGTGCAGAGCTGAAAAAAATGAAATTTGCAGTGAATGCGTCCATAATGTTCATCTTCTAAAAAGATGCTGGCTAGAGGCAAAAGGGAAATAAACCAATTATTACTCAAATTTGTTTGCTGTCGTTTTGCTTTTGTTTTTCTCAGGGCCCCCCCCGTGTTTTTGGAAGCCTTTGAAACATATGTACTTCACATACAGGAGAACAGATGTGTTTGATTTGATTTCACTGCACCATCAAAAACTATCAAAAACTCAGTACTCTGCAAGATCCACGCGAAACTGTCAAAACCATAGGTTTATGACGGTTTATAATGTTTTCTTGTCGGAATATGAGCAACCAAACGACAGCCAAGGCACATTTGCATCACCATGAGCTCGAACTTTGAAGGCTCAGGCTTGCCAGCAGGTTGTTGCGACATCTCCTGTGCTGTGTTTGCATCCATCCTGGTGTGTTCAGAACCTATTTCCAGCATGTCAAATCTCAATGGCTCTGCGCGCCTGATCGCTTCCAAAAGTTGAGCACCAATAATGATGGTTCTGCGAAGCCGTGTGAGTCAATTCCAACCGCGAAAAATACCGTGCAAATTCCCCTTTGAATTTGGAACCGGGTAGGCAACTTTCTTGCGATCACGTGGTTGATGAAAAACAAGCTTCACGCCACACAACTTATTAGGTTATCAGTTTGATGTTTTTGACAACGCCTTCAATTTCTAGTTCTTCAACTCTTCAAATCTTTCAATATACAAGCTGAGCTCTACCTCCCGGAACGTAGCCGGATCTGTCTTTGAACACCTGCACAGGGCCCACTCTTTCTAGCGAGGGTGTGTGAAAGAGCAGAGAAAAGCTTTCTCTGAACACCTTGACTTCTCAATTTGAACAGTTCTGGCTTGAATGCCAAATGCTTGTGCAGATCCAATTACCTTCAATTCTTGCAGTCTGGGAGTGCAAATGCTGCAAACGTGCAAGGCAACAGTTTCGGTTCCCTTATGGTTCCCGTGCGGTTCCTTTATGGTGCAACGCCAAAACTCAAAGAGCATCCGCACGATGCAAAAGAACTGAAGATTTCGGAAGTTTTACACGTTTCCAGCGCCAATCACGGCTGTGCAACCCATTCTGATATCAAAGGTTCGCATGGTTGGTGAAGCTATTGTGCACATTGTTTTTTGGTGACTCCAAGTGGACTTCAAACCGCTTCAGGACAGTTTGGGAAAGGTTGCCCTTTCTGTACAAATGTGGGAAGCTTTTGGATGCTCCTCTGAATGCGCTATTACACAGACATACACACACCATGTACGAGATTCTAAAGCAGAATCTGTGCATTTCTGGAACGTGCTATCTTCAAAGCCCTGCAAGTAGCAGTGGCAAGGCAAAAGAGCGACATCCACCGAAATCCTTACGCCTGGACAAAATATCAAACACAATCTAAATAGATCCCAAATTGATACCAAATAGATCCTTAATTGATCTCAAATATCCAAGAAATCATCTGCACCCCAGGCCCAATTTCTGCCATGGCCACGCAGCACTGAGATAGAGACTCATCCTCGCAACCAACCATCTGATAGGAGCAACACCACATCTGACAGAGCAACGCCACAATCACACTATGCAACACTATGCAACACTATACAGACTATGCAAATCCTGAATACTGCCGTCTGCCGATCTGTCAAAATATGTCAAATGGTCAGGTTTTCAAGAATGGCACTGGCTATCACTGGCTACTGCGGGCTCGCCTTCTTGTGAGTCTTCCATTTTCTCCTTGATTTCATGGCTTGTGGCCAATCAATCAATGGTCTGTCTAGTTTCTGCGGCACCGATTCAAAACACGAAAAAGTTGCTCAGCACTCAGAGCATGGTTTGAGCGTTGGCCCGTTTTTACGATTCGAATGGATAGCTATGGATAGCTTCCATGGGGCCAAGAGACCAATTGTCAAGGTCTTCCATGCACTTATAGGGTGGATCACCTTGGACGAACGCAGCACACAAAAGCAAGGCCGACCAAACTTCCATCCGACTCTTGTCCATCCTTCAGTCGATCACTTCTGTAGCCAATTTGTTTTTTCACTCCATTCCATCATAAACCGCAGGCTCCGCAGGTTTTGGTATCAGTTTTTGAAAGCAACAGCTGAAGCCCAGACAACCGATGGAGAACTTGTCGCAACACCATTCTTTATGCTCCTCCGACACAGCTCAATATTCACTGAAGTTTGGGGTGTAGACCGGTGTAGATCAAGACAACGATGACAACGTACAAAAGCAAATATAAAAAAAACGACAACAAAAGCCGATCTTCAGAGCCGATCTCAAAAACAGGAGACGTGTGAAACATTCTCAAAAAAGGAGCTGTGCTGTCCTGTGTCCATGTGCCAGATTCCAGACCACCGTTGGCACATTCAAAGGATTTTGGGCAGGCTGCAAAGTTGCCTAAGCACAAGTTCCAAGTGGCATTACACTGTAATGCGAACAGCTGGAAAATACAATATTGACAACACCGTATCCAGGTGCTGAACTAGCACCGCAGTAGCGGCACATCGGTTTTCCTCCAGCATTGCATCCATTCCTTGGCAAACGTTCAATGACCTCGAAAGAACAGCCTTGCGATTTTTGCTGCGTCTCTGCATCGATATTCCAGTGAAATGTTCCTTGAGACCCTGAGACTCTGGCAAGAACTGCTTGAGTCGACTCTCTCGGTCGTCGTCAGACCTGAAGATGGATCGCAACACGGCAAGGCTGTCTTTGAATGCTCGAAGCAAGACTACAAGACTACACTTTGAGGCCGGAGCGTTTTGCAACTGGTGTCATAAAAGCAAAGGGCCCTGGCAAGCAAAATGAATGAAGAGCTTTTGAACCAAATTATTTTCTTGTGGTTCTTGTGACTTGTTTGTCGCATCTGTCCTCACCGTATGCTTTGTGCCCTATGTAACTCTTGCTGTGGACTTAAACCGAGCACAGGTCGCTTGCCAGGGGTTTTTGGAGGCCTTAGTGGAGTCATAAGTCAGGCTTGCTCAAGTGTAGTGACTGAAATTGCTGAGCTTGTGACCCTTTCATGGCGTTCATCCAAGGCAGATTGTCGACCTAAAAGTGTTGTTCAAAAAGTTAAAAAAGGCATAGTTCGATCGAACAGGACCTCTACCACTTTTCACTTTTCGGCTGGGCTCCAGACCTTCTTGCTGACTTTCACTAGAGACTCACCCACGAAGACATTCGGCATGTCAGGCATCGGCCTAAGGTCAGTGGTGGACGTTGAACAGCCTGTACAGTCTGCACCATGTACCAATTCACATCAGTACGGTAAGATGTGTTGAAACTTATGTCTGTATATGTCTGTCCGTTCAAAGCGAATCCTTTGCTTTATGTTGCCATATCCTTGCTATACTGTTTTCAAGTCAAAAAATAGGTTATGGTCATCCATATGCGAACAAACATTGACATGAATCCAGTCCCCTACTACGCGATGTATTGTAGTGTCTACAACCCTTTCCGTGGATTGTAGCAATTGAGGTCAGCGCGTACCACAAGAAGCAGTAGGAACAGGGCTGCAGCCCTGCCGTCAGTCGGCACTTGATGGCACTTGCAACGCGTGCGTCCAAAGAGTCTACTGTAGATCCTTTTGCTGTCATGCCTTTTCAGAAACAAATGATAATAATGATTACAGATTTGAGAGAATAAGGATATATCTAAGAGCTCAGAGCTGCAAACGTACAATTTGTTCATCAACTGGATACTTTTTGGAAGACAACTTATATAAAGGCATAAAGGTTCTAGAGGTTCAGAGAATGCGGCATGCTGAGTGAAGAGATTCAACATGATTCAACATGGTTCAACAACTCCGGCAAGCTCCAAAAATCCAGATTACTTGGGAAGATGGACCTGGTAGACTTGGAGCTCAATGCACATAGCCCAGAAACAGGGAGTTGACACTGCAATGACTCATGGATTCATAGATTCATAGATTCATGATCATATCATACGCAATCATTGCGATCTTCTCTTCTTTGAGAACAAACAGCATTGAAATATATTGAAATGGACGGCTTGAAACTTGAACATGCCGGACTTGAGGCAAGCTCTGTTCCAAGCCTGTGTCAAGTAGAACGCAGCTCGCTTCTTTGAAAATGGTGCGATCTTGAAGTAATCCTGAGTCATCTTCTCAGGATCCAATCCAAAAGATGTCATAATCTCGAAGCTCATGGGGCTTGAACAGAGCGTCACAGTATATCTACAACAGTCCCTGCAATTTTCTCCAATCTGCACTATGATGGATATTTCATGATATTTTCATGATATTTTGTTGATAATGTCAGGTCTTTGCGGGTCTTTTACTGCACCAAATTCGAATTGTATGCTATGCCCAGGACGTAGGTTTGGTCAGAGGACTTCAAGGCGACCTACACATGGAGCGGGAATTGACGGCTGGAAACTGTGCAGGCCTGAATTCTACTTGTTCTGTTCCAACGCTAGTTATTTTCATATATTTTCATACAAATGCTTTAAATGACTAAGATGTATTTGTTCTTTGCGCTGTCTTGCGTGCCGTACTCAACTTCCCAGTGATTTCCATGCCTTGCCATCGAAGTATGGTTTCATCACGATTGGCACATCTGGGAGCGAGTGCTGAATTGGGTGCGCTGTGATCAGACTCTGTTTTTTGGGCTTCAAGTATCTTCCAGTGATCGAAGTGACTGGGCGTCTGAATGACTTGGAACATTCGGAAATACCAACATCGCAGCAGGTCCAAAAAATGCCCAAGACCAAGCCCACCAAGCCCATCACCCATTGCAGAGTTGACTTGCGCAGGCAGAAAAGGTTCAGCTGGTGACTTCTCCAGCCTTAGATTAACAAGACATCAACAAAACAAACAAAACATCATTGTACGATTCTACCCCCAAAATGCTTCGTCGATATCTCAATGAACATCTGCCCCACCCCGGGTAAGTGGGACAGGTTGATTTGACTTGTTGTTGATGTCCAGAGCCAACGGCTTTGGAAATTATCCACCTGTTCAAAGGCTTTTGATGGGCTTTTCCAATGCTCAGGACCCAGCCAAAACTGCTGCGCAAAGGTTTTCTTGTTGCACAGTGCGATCACCAAAGCAGTCTCCTGCCTCAGTTTCTCTGGCACTGGGGCATCATCACATGTGCCAGCGTCGAAATGGCCAAAACTCCTTGCTTCATGCTTTTCCACACAAGCTTTGGATCCAAGTCTTTGAATCGAATCGTCATTTCATGATTGAAAAACCAAACATCCAAATTGTTCACGTTCCATCTGGTTGCTTGTGGGTGAAACATGGTGAAACGATGTAAATGCGATCACAAAGGTACGCTTCAAACACGACCAGCTCCTTCTCCATGAGCAGTGTTGACTTGGGTGCATTGTGATGCTTTGCAACACCTTCTCCACCAACTTAAGTTCCCACCAAGAGAACAAACGGACTGCAGTTTTCAACTTGATACAGCTGCAGTCGACTTTCAGAAGGTTCTAGACTTGCACAATCCAACACATACAGAAATGTACGCTGTCCCTCAACCTGAACCTATGTAAGAAAGTGGTTCTCAACGAGCCAAGGGAGGAAAAGCACGTTTTATCAAACAGTTATGAACCATTCTGAACCCACATAAAATAGTGTTGTCTCCTTTGTCAACATCCCTGGTCACGTAAACTCAGGTGTCCGGACGTCTGAAGGCACAGACCTGGGTTGGAAGATCCAGGGACTTGGAGTTGACCTGAACAAGAACTTTCGGGCAACAATCTGTTGCTTTGGAGGGGCACAGGCGAGTGGCGAGTAGCTGACAATACTTCACAGATGTTCACAGGAAAAACGGTGCATTGAGAATCTCTCAAGCTTTTGCTTTCCAAAGAATGGAAATGGCGCAGTCCAAGCTGGTGAAAAAAGCTCTGGCAAGAGAATCGATGGCATCAACTCCTTCCTCATGATGCTACAATGAGTTTGATCTGTGGAAAGCCCGATGATGGTGCCTGAGCTGTGGTCGTACAGGAATTGCTGCTGCCAGTGCCCGTTGCATGTCCACCTAAGTAAATGCGGAGTGAACGGCAGCGTGCACTGGTATGCGCAGGAGGCATCCACTGGCAAAATTAAGAAAAACTCGGGAGAGCCCGAAAGGATAGCGAGCTCACGGCTCACACTACATAACTACATAATCTTACTCAAGCTACCATCGTCCTCCTTGAAAGGAGCTTCTATGAAGAATCTGGGAATTGTATGGATTGTGGGACACGGAAGGCCAATGTCTGGACTGTTCGTTTTCACAGCATGTGAAGTAGTCTGCGAAGCAACCGAGCGGCAAATGCACCGGCCCTGGACCGCCGCCTGCCACCCAGCTCTGGAGGACCTGTGGCAGAAAATGTCCAAGATCTATTGGGTGGTCCTGGGTCCTTCACCACTTCTGGACTCTCAAGACAGTTGAGCTCCAACCCTAGCTTACTAACCAAGGGACATCTTGTCGTTTCAGACTTAATGAATTCCAATAAGAGTCCTTTCTTTGCCTTTAACAAGATATTACAACATCGGACAAGACCTGTGGCGTTTCCCTGCCTGGGGTCCAGTGTCAGTGCGATAATCTTGATATCCAGGTTGTGGCGCTGGTCCATTCAAATCCACCGCCAAGCAAAGGCTGAGAAAACTCTGGAGCTGGTGGGTGTCCCTGGTGTAGAACCAGGCCTGGCGAATTGGAACAAGTCACGGGCTGTAAGAAAATGTAACACATAAACTTTTATGCATGCTATTTTGCAATTGAACCCAAAGTGAGAAACTGAACTTTGTCTCAGCAAAGCACCACTTGGATGAACCATGGTGTCTTGATCATTTTTGATCGAGCAATCAAGAAACTTGAGAAGGCATCAAAATACAGGATACTTTGTTCATCTTTGTTATGAAAATGTGGACATTGGCAAAGGAGACAACGGAGATCAACGGAGATTCCAATCTTCACAGCACTCCGCCTGGTGTCCATTGTTGTGATCGCAGGTCTGCACTGTGGCTGAGCCTCCCAGTTCTCGGCCTGCAGGAGCCTCCACACCTGTCGAAGCCAATGCTTTTTCACTTTTTCACTGGCTTTTAGCTGCTTCCAATCACAAGATTCCTAAGATACATTGAATAACGTATTGAAATTATCGAATCATAACAAGATTAACAAGCTGTCTTGGGAGATCTTGGGTATTCTTGGGACACAACTCCATACTGCTCCAACAGCAAATGTTTTGTCAAACCAAAAACATCAGATCCGACCCTTCGACCGAACAATCGATGATGTGGTCCATGCTTGCTCCTTGCCGCCTTGCCTTTGAAGCCTAATTTTTCCTTGTGAACTGTTTGCCAAGTTGCAGTGGCCCGAAGCAGTGCGAAGCAATGCCTCAACGTCATGAACTTCATTGTGCGATCTTCATAAAAGATCACACATCAAGGAATAGACGCAAGAAAACAAGAAAACGAAACTATCGATCTCAAACGTACCGGATCCATTGACCAAACGAAGCACTCTAAAAGCCTCATCTCAATCATCACAACCGCAGGAATGGCGCAAAAGCATCATCTAAGATCATCTAAGTATATCTGTGTGACGTCTGTGTGACCTATGGATACGAAACATGGTGACTCTGGTGACTCTGAGGCTCCGAACTGTGCCGTCAACTCTCAATGTAGTCGTTGTTGTTGTGGTCAGATCCAACCAGGTCTGAGCAAACACGCTGAGCACCCAGTGACCCAGTGAACTCAAAAGGAGGACATCGTCTTTTGTTTCAGGCGGCTTTCAAGCCTTGCCAATCTTTGACATTTTATCCAGTTGAGTGCTTACAGGGTCTCCTCTCCCATTTTTCAATCTCCCATGCCAACCTTCAGGATGGTCTCTATCCCAGTCTCGCCCTCAGGAAAAAGTTGAAGCTGACTGCTGTCCAAGTGTATGTGGTGGAACAATAAGTTTGGTGCATGCAGCCAAGAAAAGCAATGGTGTGGACCAATGATGATGCTGATAGACCAGCAAACTAAAACAGCTCTACGTGTCGCTAAACAAAGTCCAAACTACGCAAGTCCACAAACTACAACTACAAAGCAACTAACAACTACCTAAGTTCAAGCACAAGATCGCTAGTGTTGTCTTGCAAAACGCAGTACTTCCTCCATGGTTGGAGTCCAACCATGACTCGTCTTGGGCCCCGAGCCCCATAACCTCAGTTGGTCAACATGCGACTGTGGAAGAAAGCAATGATCTAAGAATCCAAGATATTCCAAGATAGTCCATTCTTTAAAGTCTAGGACACCTTACCAAGGGACCCCTTCCAAGGGATTATCCTTTCCTTCGAGAAAACCCAATCGTATGAGGAATCATTTCTACAGTCGCATCTCTTCATCTCTACGTCGCGGAATTCTCTGGGAAAGCGGCCTGTAACACCTACAGGAGTAGCGGAAACTTCTGTCAGCTCCACAGATTTGACCTCGAGTCCGTGCCCGCGTCTGAAGATCAACACCCATTGTGACAAACAGTGCCGTAGCAAGAGCAAAAGCAAAACCAACAGCTCACTACCAAGTATTTCAATGTATTTCATGATTCGTTGCCTCGTAGTCCTTCTTCCCACCAACAATGCGACTCTGTGGGTCTTCCTGACTTTGCAAGTGTGTAGAATGAAATCCGGGAGTCCATACTCTTGAAAAGAACAAGTCAAACCGTCAAACCAATCAACCTTGACTCTAAAACAAGGTAGAATATCCCTTCAACGCCATTCTGCGAAGGCGCAGTGACGACTTCACTCAAGTGACATGACATGGACATAAACGGATCATAATGAAGCTGGATCTTAAGAGAAGTCTTAAGCGCCCTTGGTCGCATTGCCTCGGCCGTTTTGATGTCTTTGTGCAAGATCTGGTTCATCTTCCTTGAAATTCGCTTCGGATTCCTGCCGCGAGGATTGTGGCCCAAATGCTTTTAATATCTCTTCATATAGTCAATATAGTCCAACATGTTCCTACGAATGTTGTCTCTTTCGATTTAAAGATACAGTCACAGTGTCGCATGAATTGGCTGCAAACTCGCTCAACCATCCGTATCCAAAGATTTCACTCCAACCTGTACAGAGCTTACAGTAGTATCTACCGTTGGAAGCAGTGTCGGAAAGCTTCCCAGTGTCTGTGCTGATCTCTGCACAGCGCGCCTTAGCTTTGCAGCCAAAATCTCCTTGGAGCCTTCTTTGCCACGTGGCAATTTGAGGTGTCCTGCTCTGCAGCACGGCCAGAGCATTGAACTGGAAGATGGTGAGTGTATTTCAGTGATGGCATCAAATGCTGTCAGGCTTTACAAATCAGATTTCCCATCATTCTCTCTACTTTGTCCAAGCACATCGGTTGCATGGTGTCCTTCTATCGAAATCATCTCGTCATCTTTCTCGGTCAACGTAGCAAGTGCAGCTGTGTCAAAACAGCAAAACAAAACCTTTATCACTGCCAGCTATTTCAGTTGCATGTTGCAGGAAGTCCCTCAGAATTCCCCCTCCAAACTCTGAAACAAAGCGCAGGTCAATAAAGTCAAAGCACTTTCTGCAAAATGCCACCAATTGTGGTCCAATGTTTCAAACGCAACTTTCGGGCAAACCCGTGGATTGATCAACTGGAACTGTGTGGTCCCTTTGAATGATGCATTTTGGGCTCTGGTGAAAGTGCTTTGCTCTTTACTTGGCCGAGTTTCTGGGATCTTCTTTCCCGATTTCAGCTTCTTGAACTCCATCTTGATTTTCTGGCCACGATTGCCGCAATTGAATGGAGAGAGAGTCTATTCAATTTTCCCGAATCTCATGTGGCGGTTGTTTGTGGCCAAGCCCCTGTCCACCTAAACTGAGCAAATAACACTGCATTCGACATTTCATACTGCACAGCTTTCAAAAGTGCCGAATGTTTTCATTCTGAAAGCGACTTCCACAGGACCACAAACATGAAGACTTTCCAACCTTTCAGACCCTTCTCCCTTCATCGCTGAGCCTTGAATTTGCATTTCGCGAATGTTATATAATGTTTATATTTATATGATTTGCGTCCTAGTCCTATGTTCTTTCTCAAGCCTCTGGTGTGCAGCATTAGCTATTCAGATTCACAGCCCCTTCTCCTTCACCCCTGCAGAATAGGATGTCTGTTTGATATCTGCAAGCCTATGTGCTCATATTCACATCCTTCCCCCACATCCTTCTCCCACCTCCTTGTCTGGGACTTCTGCGATGGCTAAGACACAGTCCCTGAGTGCCAGAGCCACCTGTGCAGTGAGTACCAGGCGGACCAGTCATGTGATGTCTGACGATGTCTGAGACTGTAAGAGATGGACCTTAACACGGAAAACACGGAACTTTGGGGCATCAGCGACAGAACATCTTTTGCCCTTAACTGTCTAAAACGGAACCTCAAATTTCAATCCACCACTCCTACACCGTCCGTGAACAGTCCGACATCAAGTAAAGGTTCTGCGTACCATGGTTCAAGACTGCGAGCAAAAGCCAGGGGTATATATCAACGAAAAAGGCGTCTCCATGCTGCAGCGAAACACAAGTGTTGCCTCTGGATCCAGTTCTTCATCTTCACCATCTGGCACGCGAAACATCTAGTCCAAGCTGTTCCCTCTGCATATACATGTGATGGTCTATATATACATATTATACGTATTGTTGTGTTATGTATACATAATATATATATATATATATGTAGATGTAGATGTAAATTGATCACCATTCATGTTCTGCAATAAGTTTGGACCTAATGGCCCCACTGCAACGCACCTTTACCCAGGTCAGCGGACTTGGAGATCTCCACCAACCTTTCAGATTGCCCGCACTAACTGGGACCATGGGTTCAAGCTAATCATCCGTCATACACCGCAAAGACAGGATGGATGGAGTCAACTTTAAAGCAACATGGACACTTCTATGAACTACGGACTTCGTGAACTTTATTTTCAAACAAGACAAATGGCCTAGGAGCCTTCATCTTGCAACAAACCCAAATGCTTTCTGAGCTAATCCGTCATATCAAGCACCTGACACATTCGGAGATACTCAGCTGTGAGAATTCTAGCAAAACAACATATATCATATATCTCACCAGACCCACACTGATCACCGGACAAGTCTCAACGGAGCCGAGCAAGCCGAGCAACATCTTGAATTTGATCTCCGGGATCGGTGCTAAAATCCTCTTGCATTCTGAGGTGAAGTTGGCCTGTGATCGGGGCTGACAGCCACATCTGCAGATGTGACAAAGTGTGGGGTGTAGGGCACTGAAATAAGGAGAAAAAAAACAAAAAGGATATCGACATGGACCGCGGCATGTTAAGGCTGGGCAACCGGACTTCCAACTTATCGTGTGCACCTTCCTCCTTATGCTTCTGTATAAGCATTTCGGTGACTGCAGATTCTCCTTTGCCGCCCTGGCTTTGCAAAATGCAAAGAATCCAACATACTGAACATTGAGGCAAACTTCTTGCATGCCTTTGGGCATGGAATACGTGACTTCGGAGATGCTGGGTGTAACGGACACACACACACACACAATCAACTTGATTGAGCCATATGGCTCATATGGCTCAACAAATGCATATATTGTACTGACAATCCTTGGATGAATTCCTTGTTCGACTACTGGTTCATTCTCGGTTCATTCTCAATCCTTTGCAATCAGAAACTGCTTGCACCTCCCTATTTCGCGCTCGCCAGCACTCGCCTCCTTCGGCTGCACAAGATCTTTGCACTTTTGATCTTCGGCATCTTCGATGCCTTTTCCTTCCTTAGCAAACGATTAAACCACAACCGACCAAGCCACCAGCTGACGCTATACTACAGACTACTTCACATGGTTTTAAACATGCTTTAAATCATTTATGATAATCGCAATCTTATGCTATGGGTTCATGATGGGTTCATGATGGGGTTTATGATGGGTTCATGTATGGTGCCTCTTTCTTTTGGGCTTTGAACCTTGCCTGCCTTGCCTTGGCTCAAAAGCGAACGGTGATACTGAGTTTCCTCACCAAGCTCTTGACAGCTACACTGAAGCCCTCCAGGTTGTTCCTGGCAAGTCACAAGTCCGCCCAGTGTTGACACATGTCATCTTCAGATCGTATGAAGTTCCGAAATGTTCGGAATGCAGAGCTTAGCTCGAGCTGATTACATGGACAGCACAAGCCCCTGGTCGTGGTGACTCGTGGTGACTCGTGGTGACTCGAGGTGGCTAAGGCTCCCCACCCTTCAGACTTGGTCTTGACCGTCACATCTTGCTCCAGGCAACCTCGACGGGAAGGGAACACGACATCAGATGTTCCCTGGAGATATGCACAGAGGTCGACAATTCGACAGTGGCTGATACATACTGATACCGAATAGGTCCAGATAGAGACTGCCGCAACTATGAGCTATTGGAACTCTCTTTGGCTGGGGCAACGATAAGCAAAGTGTGGAGCATTAAACACGAAGCCACATGGTACAAACAATGTGGCACTCTTGTCTGTTTTGCATTTTCTAAAAAAACAGTTTCTGAACTCTACAGCTCTGTCATTGCAGAGGGAGAGTGTCATAACCAAGAGTTCGGCATCCAAGGATACTTGTTGTCGATACGAAATGATCAAAATGTAAACTTTGGACGACCACTATTGGTTTCTATCATTGGCAACTTTACCATGCTTGTGGACATATCAATTTTCATCATGATCTATTCAAAGATATCAGGCAAGCACAATGGCTCTCAGCTATTTTTCTCTTTCGGGAACTGGGATTTGAAGATTCCAAAAGCAGTACCACTGGCTCAGCTCACTATCTCTGGAAGTGCAATTATAGGGCATAAATAGGATATAAGACAGGATATAACATGGTATCACAGCTTATCCCTTTCCGAACCA